TCTTCTGCAATCCTCTTCGACTGATGTAACTACTCGTTGACCCACTATCAACTAATGCGCCTACTCTTTCTCTACGAATTTCTACATCTCCTATGATTAGCTGCCCTTCGACTTCTTCTTCATTTCGGCCCAGGCTTGACAACGAGTGATCAGCTCATCACCGATGCGTGCGAGGGAGCCACCTAGAGAAGTCCTAGCACAAGCGATCTCTGGAAAGCTAGCTAGGTGGGGGCCTACATCAGTCTCTCCCAATGGGACCTTCAGACAGGAGGGTGCCTTGAATGGATTCACGCTGCAAGCCTACCAGTCCCTGTTACAGAGTCCCCAATTATTCCAGTCCGCAGGCCTTACTGGTAGTTAAATCTTAGGGTCTGTAGGTCTAGGCGTCGTAGGTCTGTAGGAACAGTACCTCTAGGATCACGCCAGTCCCCAAAGGTCCAGTTTTTGCAGCAGCCTCACAAGAAAGGTGAGAACCTTCCCAAAATGGCAACTGGGCAGGGCAGAGGCAAAAGAAGGCCGGTACGAATTGAAGCAGGCAGGCCCAGCCCACGAAAACAATATATTTTGGGCTACAGTACCAGACGGACGCAGTTGTTCATTTCACAAATTTGTGGAGCGCTGTTGGAGCTGTGCGAACTAGCGACCTGGACGAAGAAGTGCGCTGAAGGGAGAAGATGCCCAGTGCGCTGGCTGAAGGAGACGGCCATAGCCAGGAGGGGAGAAGCAGACTTGGCGGCCATCGCCGCCTGATGTTGAGAGAGACACGCTGCAGTAGCATTCAGGGTGGATCTAGGACGTAGACGTAGGAGAGAACAGAAAGGGAGAGCAACGAGGGTGAACAGTGCAGAGAAGGGAGAGAGAGAGAGAGAGAGAGAGAGAGAGAGAGAGAGAGAGAGAGAGAGAGAGAGAGAGAGAGAGAGAGAGAGAGAGAAGCAGCGGATCGGACAGGGGAAAGTCAGGATTGGAGTTGGGGGTTGTTTCAGCAGCTGCTACTGCCGAATTCCGGATTTTTCAATTATATATTATTGTATCTGAGTGGAACTACTGTTCATGGCCATATCTCAAGCTCATGTGAGCTTTATTTAATTGCTCTCAATCGCATGTTGCTTTGCAAGTGAAATAGTGTCAGGATCTTTGCACTGGTATCGAAGCAGTTACCCGTTGCACTGCGGTGGTGGAAGAAAGTCGTCAAGGCATAAGGCCGGCGGGTGTGTTCATGACGGGGTTTCACTGTAGCAGGCGAGAAAGGTGAAAAAGGTGTTGAATGAAGCTTGGAGCAGGAGATACGTACCTGCAGCAGATCAAGATCGGTGGGGAGCGGCACCATGAAGACCGAAGTGAAGTGGTTTCTGCCCTGAGCCCCACCTGTTGGACCTTTTTTGTTGTTTTGTGAAGTTTTCACAAAATTTCTTGGTGACGGCTGCTGCTGGTGAAGTACGGTAGGTGTCAGTCCCGTCAGATTAGAGTCAGACTTCTGACACATTGCTTGATTGAATGTGAGGAGGCGCAAGGGATTTGGGAGGTGGCTAAGGACACATGGAGGCAAGTTACAGAGATAGTGTTCCCAGACTCAACGATTTCCTTAATGTTGGGTTCGAGAGTTCCCAAGCAATGGCAGCCCTTTCAGAAGCATATGTTCCAGATCGTAAGACTATATACCCTGTGGACTATTTGGAAGCGTCGATGCCAAATCACGATAGAAGGAACAAGAATGCATAAACAAGAAGCTAAGGAAATCTTCCTAAACTTAATGGAAACTCGCCTTAAAGCCCATTGGAAAGTAGTAAGGAATCAGGTACGACAGCAACCGGGACAAGAGGAGGAAATCATGAAACGCTTCAAACAGAGGGTACTAGGGGAAGGAGCGGTAGCGGAAATCCAAGGGGGGCATTTGATCTTCAGATGGAGAGGGAGAAGGCACTGATCGCAGAATACCGGGAAGGTCTAGGGCGAGGGGAAGCACATGGGGAAGAGGGATCTGTAGCTGAGAAGAGGGCTTAAGATTAACGGAAAAAAAGGAACCGGACTTCTATATACTATACGAAAAGCGTGATTTCAAGATTGTCTTACAAACGATTGTAATGATAGGGGTGAAGGTTTTTTGGGTATAGGGTTTAGGGTTTATAAGGAAATAAGGTAAATACTAAATAGGCTTTTGAGGAGATAGAATTCAGAGAACACTACAAGCATCCCAGATGCCTCCCGCATAACACACTTACGCGACAGTTTCATAGCTGAGAGGAGCAGATCTGGGATTAAAAGGTTTGATAGGGAAAAATTAGCTCAGGCCAAATTAAAAAAAGGAAATGGGAGAGAAAGTGGAGGTCAGTGGATTGATGTTTAAGCAAAATAGAAGTTATAGTTAAGGGTTTAGGGTTTAGGGTTTGGATAGACTTACGAGCGAGGGCTTAGGGTTTATGGCTTAGACAGAAACAAGGCAAAAGCTGTTATAGAATTTTAGAGGCTTCAAAAGGCATATAAGTGTTCCAGAATGCTCTTGTATAATCATAGATACCTGACAGGGGTGAGAGGTGCAGATCTGGGATCAGATAGATTGGCAGGCAGAGTTAGTGCAGGCTAGATTAGGCAGGGGTGAGAGGTGGTACATCCTTCCTCAGGGAAGTAATCAATGCTGCCTACTCAGGCCTCTCAGCCATAACGGGGAGGAGCGTGTGTAAGTCATTGATGTATTCCATATTGACTTGCCGGGGGAATGGGAACCGGACTGTCGCTCCCCAGAATGGTAGGAGCCAGAACCGTGAGGTTCTGTTATTAAAAAAAAAAAAAAAAAAAAAAAAGCTAGGTGTTGAGGATTAAGTCTAAGTGGCGAGGAGGCGGAGTCATACATACCTGTGCCATCACTCACCATGGATAACTATCCCATGTTTGCTTTTATGGCCCTTTCCGTGATCTTGGAACCGTTGTTCCGCTTGATATTCCCATTAGGCTTCGCGCGCGCCTGCAGGGTGGCTGTGACCACCAAATCAGGAATTAGTACCGTACCGTATACCGCCGCTGAATAGGCGAGGATGCAGGCGAAACTGCAGCAACAGAGGGACAAAAAAGCAGCGAAAATTAAAGAAAAAGAGGAGGAGATAAGAAAGAAGATGGAGGAGGAGAAGGTGAGATTGGAGAAGGAGAAGAAAGAGATGTAGGAGAGGTTGTAGAAGGAATTGGAAGCGGCATCAAGAGAGATCATTGAGGAGGAAGTCGAGGTGTAGGAGGAGGAAGAGAAAACTAGCGGTGCAGAGACTAGTACCGCAGCCCACATTGAAGTATATTAGGGTGATGATGAGGAGTGGGTGAAACAATTTGGCTTCCATGTCGAGTTGCCAGCGGAGACAGAGGACGAACAGAAAGATTTCATGGTCCGGTTGGAAACGGCCGCAGACGAAAGGGGGAGACAAATTTTGTTGGAAGAGAAAGAAATATCCCTGCGTCAGAAGGTTGTGGCCCAGAAGAGAAAGGAGATGGAGGAGCAGTAGAGATTGACGGAGGAAGGAGAGAAGCTCCAACAGAGGTTGAAGGAGCAGAAAGGAAAGGAGGCGGCGACGAAGGAGGGGACGACACTGACTACTAACACCCTCCTCCACCACTCTCAGGCTCTAGCTGCTATCCAACACACATCGAGTGCCAACAACATGCATTGCAGACTGTTTGGAACAACTTCCTCTCTGCAAATGCTCGCCGGATAGATGAGCGAACGACAAACTGGGTGGAGGAGGAGAAAGACAGAGAATGGAGGCGATGCAATTAGACAAGCTCATCACCCAAAAGATTGACAACACCATCATCGAGAGGAAGCCAAGTGGCGGTGGTGGAGGTGGAGGAAATGGAGGCGATGCAGGGAAAGGAGGAGATCAGAAGGAGAGACAACTGGGTGGAGGAGGAGAAAGACAGAGAATGAAAATGAAACTGCCAACAACCTACACCAGCGCTAGGGGTGAGAATTTCTATACCTGGGAGGCAGCAATGGACTGCTACCTGTACGGGTAGTGCATACCGTATTGGAACCGCATGATCGTGATCAATTCGTGCTTGGGGGGATGCTGCGAACTTTGCCATGTCACTAGTCAAAGAGGCAGGCTATGCGACGATCGTAGAATATTCCCAACAGACCCACAGTCAAGATTTCATGAAGGCCATCAGGGAGAGCTTTGAAGACAAGAACCTCGGTCGCGAGACAGAGCAACAAACTCCCTCATGTCTGGAATCCCAAATGGCAGAGATTGTTGAAGGCCCCCGCCTGGATGGCTGTCCAGAGACCGCTTGTACTAGGGTCTCTCTAGGCGGTTCCCTCACAGGCATTGGTGATGAGCTGATCACTTGTCGCCCCGCCTGGGCCAAAATGAAGAAGAGAAGAGGGCAACTAATTTTGGGAGATGTAGAGATTAGTCGGATGCGAGTAGGAGCCTTAGTGGATAGTGTTTCTACGTGTAGTTTTATTAGTAGGAAAGGGTTCAGGAAATTGCATCTAGGAATGAAGGTGCAGAAGTTGAGAGAGCCGGTAGTGAGTATACTGGCCGACAATCGTGAGATGAGCGTGGAGGAATATGTTGAGGGGATCAAGGCATACTTCCGGTTGGAGGAGGGAAAGACGGTAGAGAAGGTTCTACATTCCCTTACCCTCTTAGTGGAGGACAGTCTCCCCTTCAACTTGATTTTAGGGACAGACTGGGGAGAAGCAGCCATGGTAGATGTCAAGTTGGGTGAGCACGAGTGCTGGCTGCCCAGCCACTGGGGGCAAGAAGAAGATGAGGCTGTTCCACGAGTCGGGTCTAGAGTCCCAACTGTCCATTTGTTGTATGAGCGCCCCTGCATTCGCCCGACACGTGACCAAAGAGAAGTTGGAAGATCAGGTCTTTGTGACCTATGTGAGACCAGTGAGTGAAGAGAATAAGGCTGAAGACAAGACACCGCCCGAGTAGAAAACCTGCTGCAAGAGTTTGCTGATGTAGGAGAAGCCCCAGCCGGAGATCAAGCACCGGATTGAGATAGAGCCCGGTAGCAAGATCCCTAGGGGCCCCGTTTACAGAATGTCTCCCAAGGAGTTGGATGAATTGCGCAGGCAACTCGATGAGCTGATTGAGAAGGGGTGGATAAAACCCAGTTCGTCACCGTACGGCGCACCAGTTCTGTTTGTGCCAAAGAAAGAGGGTGAACTGCATTTGTGCATTGATTACCGGGGATTGAATGCTATTGCGGTCAAGAATGTTGAACCGTTGCCCCAGATTGATGACCTCTTAGACAGGGTGCAGGGATGTAAGTATTTCTCCAAGATTGACCTGAAGTCTGGGTACCATCAGATTGAGGTGCAGCTGGAAGATCAGCATAAGACGACCTTCATGACCCGCTACGGTCACTATGAGTTTGTGGTGATGCCGTTTGGATTGACTAATGCCCCTGCAACATTCCAAAGATGCATGAATGATCTGTTTAGAGATTGGTTAGATAGGTTTGTTGTAGTTTATTTGGATGATATTCTGATTTTTAGCAAGAGCTTGGAGGAGCATCATAATCATCTGCGTCAGGTACTGACTAAGTTGCGAGAGTCCACTTTCAAGATTAATCCAAAGAAGTGTGAATGGGCCAAGCGCCAAGTCTTGTAGGACACGTAGTAGATGGAGATGGAGTGAGACCGAAGGACGCCAGGATCACGGCAATTCGTGATTGGCCAACCCCGCACACGTTGACGGAGTTGCGTTCGTTCTTAGGATTGGCCAACTATTATCGGAAGTTCGTTCGTAATTTTACTTCCATTGCTGCTCCTTTGCACAGGCTGCTGCAAAAGGAAACTTCCTGGAACTGGGACAAGGACTGTACATCAGCCTTCAAGAAGTTGAAGAAGTCCCTCATTGAGTACCCGGTCCTTAAAGTAGTTGACCCATCTTTACCGTCCGTCGTTACTACCGATGCCAGCCAGCATGGCATTGGCGCCGTTCTCCAACAGAATGATGGAAATGGGTACAGGCCCATGGAGTTTGTCTTGCAGGCTCCCTAGTGAGAAGGTAGCAGCCTCGACTTATGAGCGTGAGCTCTTCGCCCTCAATCAGGCCTTAGACCACTGGCGACACTACCTGTTAGGGCGACACTTCAAGGTATATTCAGACCATGAGACTCTGCGCTGGTTGAAGACCCAAGCCCGAATGACTCCTAAACTGACTAGGTGGGCTGGGGAGATTGACCAGTTTGATTTTGAATTGAAACCAGTCAAGGGTAAATTCAATGTTGTCATTGATGCATTGAGCAGACGTGCAAATTTCTTTGGTGCAATAGTGACTTACCTGGATGTTGGCGCAGACCTGCAACAAAAGATTAGAGCTGCGACGATGATGATCATGTGTACAGTGCATTGATAAAGAAGGTGCAGACCACACCTCAGGAAGTTCCCGATTATAGAATGGCCTATGGATTGCTATTTGAGAAGACTGACGTGCATGATAGGCTATGCATACCGAATAGTGAAGAGGTACACATTCTGATCCTAGGGGAATGTCATGATACTGAAGGTCATTTCGGTTGTCGAAAGACCTACGCTACGTTGCTGAGATCCTACACTTGGCCCGAAATGAAGCATGATTGCATTGCTTACATCCAAGGCTGCCAAGTATGTCAGAGGAACAAGAGTTCCACGCAGCCTCCCCTTAGACTGTTGAAACCCTTGCCTATCCCATCTGGCCCCGGTGAATATGTATCTATCGACTTTATGGATACTAAGACCAAGAGTAGTAGTGGGAAGACTCAAGTTATGGTTATCGTTGACAGGTTTAGTAAATTTGTCGTTTTTGTACCATTACCTGCTGAAGCGAAGACAAATATGGTCATCAAAAAGCTTTTTAATCATTGGGTCAACGATTATGGTCATCCCTTGAGTATAGTTAATGATCGAGATAGCCAGTTTACAGGGGAACAATGACAACAGTTAATGAAGGTCTATGGATCTCAATTAGCGATGTCGTCTAGGCGCCACCCTGAGACAAATGGCCAGACCGAGCAGATGAACAAAATCTTACAGCAAGTATTGCGTATGTATATAAAACCAGATCAGATAGATTGGGATAAGCACCTTCCCAAAGTAGCTAATGCGTATAACAACTCAGTTCACCTAGCTACCTCGCTGACCCTGAACGAGCTTCATAGAGGTTGGAGTCCCCGACGTCCCATAGACTGTTTGAATCCGAATCAGATCCAAAGACTACCACCTGGTACATGTGAGCTTGCTATCCAGTATGAGAGGGATCTGCAGCGCGTTGCTGTGAATATCCGGAAGGCCCAACACCTGATGGTGGAACACGCGAACAAACACCGTCGGTCGTCATAGTTTGCGGTAGGAGATCTTGTTTGGGTCAAGTCTAAAGAGTTTGTTCTCGAGGAAGGGATCTCGCAGAAGTTCCTGCCCACCTACAGAGGGCCGCGGCAAGTATTAGATGTCAAGGGCGATGCAAATGGACCGTCATACACCATCGAGATTCCACCCCATCGACACACCTATCCTGTTTTTCACGCTTCTAAGCTACTTCCCTGTGTGACTAATGATGCATTTCCCTCACGCAGACCCATGATTCCACCTGATATGGACGGAAGATGCGACGTAGACATAGTTGTTGTTGAGGATACCTTCCGTACAAGTCGTAGAGGGAGGCCACAAGGCAATATAAGGCTCGATTTGCTTACCAGGATCCCAGCGAAGACCGCTGGTCCAGAGGACCTCGAAATTAGGTCGGAGAGAGTGAATGGATTCACGTGGCAAGCCTACCAGTCCCTATTACAGAGTCCCCAATTATTGCAGTCCGCAGGCCTTACCGGTAGTTAAATCTTAGGGTCTGTAGGTCTAGGCGTTGTAGGTCTCTAGGAACATTACCTGTAGGATCACGTTAGTCCCCAAAGCTCCAATTTTTGCAGCAGCCTCACAAGAAAGGTGAGAACCTTCCCAAAATGGCAACTTGGAAGGGCAGAGGCAAACGAAGGTCGGTACCAATTGAAGCCGGCAGGCCCAACCCACGAAAACAATATATTTTGGCCTACAGTACCATACGGAGGCAGTTGTTCATTTCGCAAATTTGTGGACCGTTGTTGGGGTTGTGCGAACTAGTGACCTGGACGAAGAAGTGCGCTGAAGGGAGAAGATGCCAGTGCCCTAGCTGAAGGAGACAACCATAGCCAAGAGGGGGAGAAACAAACTTGGCGGCCATCGCCGTCTGATGTTGAGAGAGACACGCTGCAGTAGCATTCAGCGTGGATCTAGGACGTAGACGGAGGAGAGAACAAAAAGGGAGAGAAACGAGGGTGAACAGTGCAAAGAAGGGAGGGGGAGAGAGAGAGAGAGAGAGAGAGAGAGAGAGAGAGAGAGAGAGAGAGAGAGAGAGAGAGAGAGAGAGCTGNAGAGAGAGAGAGAGAGAGAGAGAGAGAGAGAGAGAGAAAAGCAGCGGATCGGACAGGGGAAAGTCAGGATTGGAGTTGTGGGTTGTTTCAGAAGTTGCTACTACCGAATTCCGGATTTTTCAATTGTATATTATTGTATCTGAGTGGAACTTCGAATTTGCACTGTTTATGGCCATATCTCAAGCTCATGTGAGCTTTATTTAATTGCTCTCAATTGCATGTTGCTTTGCAAGTGAAATAGTGTCAGGATCTTTGCAGCCTGTTCAGCGCACGCTTTTACTTGTTTGTCTAAGTTTGAAGGCCTTGGAGACACAACTGCAACCCCTACTGGTGTTCCCTTTTGGGTACCTGTATTCAGGACAAAAAGGGACAACGTGGCTGGGGTCACCACACTTTAAGCATTGGCCAGCGTCGAGTCGTTTCTTTCATAACGAATACTCCATGCTCATGGCCTCCCAAGGTTTCCCTTCGGCGAGTCCTGAGTGTCCACATTCACCTTGCGAGGGACCATTTCCCCTACCACCCGCATGGTAGCTCCCGTCGCCACTACCCCTTTGATTAGCGGGTCCTCGACCCCCGCCTCTTCCACGGCCTCCTCTACCTCGGTCTCCTCTTCCTTTTTGCCCTCCCCCATGGGTTGCAGCACCCACATAGTTCTCTCCTTAGGCTACTTGGTTGCTTTTTGCGTCCTCTAGTTCATAATCTATTTGTTCGTAGGGAAGTGACGAGACTCCCCCTTCTTCGAACGTGACTTGAAGACTAATAGACTATCCTTTCCCTCTATATTTCCAGATATTCTCTTATTCTTCCACCGGTTCCCTTTATGCAAATCTTTCCAATAATGGCAGTAGTTTCCCTCTAACAGGAAATCCGCCTAGTCTACAACGATTTTACTAAACTTCTCATGTGTTATCCCCTCTTCCGTTGTCTAGGGATACAATTGGGTCTTGAGGGGATTGGGGAGCGCTCTCGCAAAATTATTCAGAATTTGCACGGAGGTCAGTTCGTGACCTGGACACTGTAGCAGTTTGTCCATGGTGGCCTTAAGGGCTGACACGCTTTTCCATCTTTGGTCACTTATGGTAAGGAATAGGTATTCAATACGGCGGGTCAAGTTCTTGTCTTCGAACCTGTCCTTCAAGGCCCTCGTGAAATTCTCAACGAGGTTTTGCTGGGATATTGCACCACCGAGGGGCAGTTTGCCTCCTTCATTAAGGATATAGCGAAGTTGGCAGCATCCCCACCGAGGCACAAACTAGCCAGTAACACAGGGTCCAGATACGGAATCAACTGCGTGTACAAGTACTTATCCATCGCTGCCTCCCACTAGAATATATTTTCTTCCGTTTCTCTTTTTTCACCTCCCTCAGAATGGCTCTCAACTCCTTTTTTGTCCCCTACTTTTCTCGGACCTTTACCTCCCTTGTCATCATCACCATCGTTCCCACCATCTCCACCTCCATTACCGCCGCCCAACCTCACTGATGCGATGGTGTTTGTCAACTTTCGGGTGAAGATACTATCTAGTTGGTGGGCGTAATCAATGATTTTATCTACAATTTGACGGGAAGAAGCGTAGAGGAAGTTGTTCCACGTGCTTTGGAACTCTTCTTAGTTGATCCACTTTTCCTACAGGTTTTTGTAGTGCGGCAAGTTCCTAAGTGGTGTGCAACAAGGTGTCAGTCAAGAGGGTTAAACTTTCTTTCACTTTGGTCTCTTTCCCTTTCTGCTCCCTCAGTTTTTGTTGGAGCTTTTCTCCCTCCTCCTTCAATATTTTCTTCTCATCATATTCTTTCCTTTTTTGGGTCAACAGTCGTTGATGAAGGATACTTCTCCTTTCTTCAATTAACAGTTTTCTTCCTCATCATCAATAACTGCTGCCAACTTTGCTGCAAAATCATTCTTCTCGTCCTCTGTCTCTTTTAGCATCTCAGTGCAGAACCCAAATTTCTCCACCAAATCCTCATCATCCACTTGCTGGAGCCTGACATGACCAGCATGACTACTCTTGCAACTTCCTTTTCTTCTCCACCCTCTGCTCTTCTTCTCCCTCTTCGCTCTTAGTCCTTCCTCCTCTTTTTCAACATCCAAGTTTTGTTGTAACTCTTTTTTTTTTTTTTTCATCTCTGCCTCCATCTGGCTTTTCTCT